ATAGTCTAAAATATTTTATATCATAACTTTCATTTTTTTTTAATTTAATTTTTAATAATACCACTATAATTTATTAAATTTAAATTTAATTTTTAAGATTAAATCTTTTGAACAAACAAACCAAACTAAAAATAAACCCAAACTGGTACAAACCAAGTTGGCGGGGTTTCACTAATGGTCAATCGGTTTCGAGTGACAAACTCTCAACCTAATAAGGTCAATTTGGTTGGGGAAATAGCTTGCAACCGAACTGAACCAATCCTTGAACACTCTTAACTTCAACTAAATTAATAGTCCTAATCTCTAATAAATAACAATAGTTTAATCTCCAATAGTTATGGAAAATTTATAGCAAAAATACACAACTATTGAAAATAAATTTGTAATAAAAATACAATAAATGCTAAAAATATATTAAATTATTCAATAAATAGTGTAATCTCAAATAATAGTTTAATCTCTAATATATATTAATCAATAAATTATAAAAATACATAATTACTAAAAATAAGTTTATAACAAAAATACAATAAATACGATAAATTAAATTTCAAAAGTTAAATAATAGTTGTTTAATATCCAATAATTATTGATAATTTTCTGTTAAATAACAAAACAAAAATAGATTCATAAATAATTATTGAAAACATATTTATCAAAATATACAATAAATAATTACTAAAAATAAAATAAAAATTAATTTTAGTATATATAAATAAATCTATAATGAATATACATTATTATTGTAAAATTATTACTAATAAATAGTTTTTTGAAAGTTATTTTCTATAATTATTAATTGATATAAGTTATTTAGTTATGTTAAATATTTCGTTATTTAAATAATATGTAAAATATTTAAATTTTTTTATTATTTTAATTTTATTACATAATATTAAATATTTTGTTATATAATTATTTAGTTGTTTTTAATGTTTTGTTATTTAAGATATTTAGTTATTGAAATATTTAAATAATGTTTTATTTTTTAATGTTAATTTTTTATTGTTTTAATAATATTTAAATTGAATAGTTTGTAAAATTGTAATTTATATTGTTACTACATAATTTCCTGATGAATTTTGTAAAAATATAGAATTATTAATAATATGAATATTATTAAATCTATTATAATTAATTTTTGTGTTTTGAATAAATATTTCAAAATTAGTATATAATTTTGTTGTAATATTTAAATAATTCTGAAAAATTTTAATTGAAACTTTCTTTAGATAAATGTAGATAAAAAGTGGTTGAGAGGATAAATAGGAATTAGGGGGCGTTCTTTTTCTGGATTTTGAGAGGTGGGAAAGTTGGTCAATGGGATTTTGATTCCCATTGACCAAAAATCCCATGTTCTTTTTTCAGATTTATGTGGGGACCAGGGAAGGTTTATTTTCTTGGGTATCATTTACTCAGGTAAGTGATACCTATCTCCTAGGTGGGTAAATAACTTTCCCACCTTGGGGAAAAGTTGCCAACACTTGAGAGGGATAAAAAGAACATAGGTAAATGCACTTATCTAGGTAAATCTTTCATGGGAAACAATTACCTAGGTAAGTGTATTTACCTGGGTAAGTAACTTACCGAAATGTGAACGGGCCTTAGAGATAGTTTAGGTGGAAATCTCTTAAAATAAATAGGAGCTAGAGATAATTTAGGAGATAAATAGGAATTAGAGACAATTTAAGAGAAAGTGAGGAAAAGTGATGCCACTTGGCTAAACTTTAGAAAAGCATATCGCTATTTCTTTATGGTTATTAGAAATAGTTAATCCTATGTTATTTCTTTATTGGTTTAATGGGTAATTATGTGAAACTAAAAAATTAAAAAATTAGGAAGGAATTATATATTCATGCAAAGAAAGCCATTAAGCCATATCTAATAAAAAAATATGGGAAGCCAAAAAAAGCTTTAGTTTTTGTTTAATTTAAAGGAAAAAGTAGGAAAAGATAGGAAACCTTTAAACCAAACTATATTAATTAATTTCTCTGAATCGACCCAATCAGTGATTCAGTGCAGCTCAATCAATACAAAAGCCTTCAGAAATAGGGCCTTAATTCAAAAGCTTAATTATTCAATTGGAGCCTTAGCTAGATTTACGCTGACAGTCTTACCAAGAGAGTAGCATTAATGGGTGGCCCTTTTTCTATTGAAAATGGGCGGCATCTTGGGTCAGGCCCCTTTATGTTTTTAGTCCTTGTCTTTTTTTTTTTAATTTTCTTACAAAAAAAATTAAAAATAAAAAGTAAGAAAAAGTGAGTTGTTCATTACTCCCGGTCCCAGATGAGCTGATTGCAAAATTATATTTCTGACTATTTCTTCTGTGGTTGAGACTTGAGAGTTGGAATCACTTAAAACTCTCATCTGTCCTCCAAAATATTGGTTGACCTGGGCATTCCTATTTTCATAAAGCAATGATTATTTTAGAAGACAAAAATGCCCTTATGTATTGATTGCTAGATATGATAGTGTTGGCTACTTTTACATTTTTACTATGGTGTGCATGTGCCCCATTTTATCAATTATCAGTCCCACAAAAACAAATCCACTCTGGCCATATCTCTCGTCACTCAGTCGTCGTCAACAAACAAATTCGGGATCACACCACTTTTCTAAGTTTGTGTCATTGTGTGTGTATCTATCCTTTTCCTGCTCGTCATTAACCATGCAGGTCGTATGGGTTGGGCCTTGGATAATTGCACCAGGTCTCAACCCAATGTCATATGACGCATCTTTTGGTTCGCAGGAAAAGGGATGTAGAATTGAAATCAGAATGGGTTATTTCGATTCTAACTGTTTGGTTGGGTAGAATCAAAATTCTATTTTTATTTTTGTTAGAATGACATTCTCCCATTTAAGATTATGTTTGGCTTGAAGGAAAATGTAGGAAAAAAAAAAACTTTACAAATTTTGTATTAGTTTTTCTGTCTTTCCCTTCCTTTTCCTATCTTTTCCTTCAAACCAAACATAACCCAAGGGAATGGACATTCATTGCCTCTCTTTTAAGAAGGAAATCTCATTCTTACTGACTTTATTTTTCATTCTCATTTTTATCTGAATCAAACAGACTATAAGAATAGACAATTCTAATTCTGATTCCGATTTCAATTACAAACCAAATGGACCCTAAATTTGTTTACATACCCATGTTAAAAGTAACAAGCGTACGTGTGAGATGGCCAGTAACAAACTTACGTGTGAAATTTGGCCATTTGGTCATGAATAACGACAATTTCACAAAGAACTTGATTCCGAACCTGCCAAGTGCCAAATATAGCAACAAGCGACAACTTTTGATCAAGGTCCACCCGGGGTTTGGGTCTCTGACACTTTTTTCTCTCTTTCATTTGTGAGTTGTGACTAGTGTGAGGTAACCCAATGGACCGGCCCATTTTAAGACAGACTTGGACATGACTTTCGATTCACGGGCTTAGAATCGAGTCCAAAATATGAGGTCCAATCATTTTTCGAGTTGGATTCGAGTTTTCTTAAAACCGTTTAGCCCGATTCCAAATCCGACTTATAATATATATAATGTGTTTCTTTTTGTTCTTTTTCTTTTTTTTTAAGTAATAGTGAGATCTTTTATTATGTTTAGATTTTGAGGCATTTTAATATAAATAAAATAGTTTTTTTTATTGAATAAAAAAATCAAATTTCTAACCAGACTCGGGCTTGAGCCTGAGTTTCAGTCTTTATACAAGGGTTAAGCTAGGACTTAAGACCTAGGCCCCATAGCCAGGCTGTCCCAGGCTGAGACCTAAAAATGCATTCTATTAATACAGAGATAAAACCCAACCCATGAATAGGTCTAGGAGAGAACGGACTGCCATCTCCATGGATGACAAATATGATGTTGAGACAGTATTGGAAGCGTTTTATTGATAGTAATAGATTAGCCCGATACCCACTGATCAAGCCAAATACATGTCCATAAATAACAAATTTGGATCAGTTACCAATATATTATACCAATAATATCCCAACAGACCATACATTGAGAACATCTTCCAATGACAAGATTAATAGCAAATCCCTACCCATGTCCATTTGCTTAATTGTTAAGATTTCAAAGATGAGTCTGGATCTATTCCTTACAGAGCTTGCTTTACACTGACCTCACAGCATGTGGCCGTGAGGCGAGCAGATCCCAATTCCTCAACGATAGGTTGATTGTGTCCTTAAACAAAATTGTTGTCCCAAGTCCCAAACCGAGAGGGAGAGCACAAAAGCACGCGCATCTTTTTAGTGAAAAAGGCTTTTGTGCATATAAAGCAAGTAAACAAACGCCCGCCCCAAATGATAGTAATAAAAAGGACTGAATAATATCCGTTAGTTTAAGCCTTCCAAAGATTCTTTCACCCAATAAAAAATTAATATATCCATCTTCTAAAGATTCTCTGTATATTTTCTATTTCTCTACTTCTACGAGCGCGCCTACCACACAAGTAAATACACATATACACACAACTCGAGTCATGTCGGGAGGGGGAGTGGGGGACACAACACAAAAACAACCACGGGGTGCGCATCTAGATCGAGGGGCGCATCTACGCATGGTGCGTGAGTTAGATAACATTAGGGCCTCCCTCTGAATTTAATAATAGTAAACTACACCCGTTTTTTAGGTAAGAGCTTCCCCTTCTTTGGTCCATTCTCTTTTGTCAGCACTCAGCACTTCCCAGTTCCCACCCACTGGAGGCCACTACCATCTATCTCCCTCTCTCAGAAATCAGAATCAATATTCTCAGCCCAGCCAAGCAGCGAAACTGAGATTTTGCAGAAACCAGTAAATGTATTTAATTTTTCACGTCCTTCGAGCTAATACCACCCCCAGCTTCAACCTTCTTTTTCTTTTCTTTTTCCCTCTTCTCCCACCTCACAACCTAAAAGAATAAAAGAAATATCCCTCTGTTCCATCTCTCAAGAACCCTAGCTACAAGACATTAGCCCCCACCAGAACAGACAAGCAGGCCGAGCTCTCGCACTAGCTGTTAATGGAGAAAATTTCCATCCTCAGGTACCCTCTCTCCCTCGCTTTCTTTATCTTCTGTTTCGTGACAACTGCTGCCGAACAGATCTCATCTTTTTCGCTCAAGAAATTCGAGACAAACCCCATCTTCGGCTCACAAGTCGCTCTCTTCGGCGATGCCGAGGTTGTTAATGGTGGTTATTCCGTTAACGTTACTCGTTCGTCGATTCTGAGCGCTGGGCGCCTCATGTACAAGCAACCCATTAAGCTTGTTGAAGGGAACCCTAGAAAAGGAGTGTCCTTCTCTACATATTTCTCTTTCTCTATCTCCCCTGACAATGGCGATGGCATCGCTTTCGTGCTTCTTCCAAGTGGGTTTCCTTCCCAATTCTTAGACGGAACCTCCTTTGGGCTCTCCCCGGGATTGGGGAAGTTGGGCTCTCGAGTTCTGGCTGTTGAATTCGACACCTCCATGGACGCCAAGTTTGCTGATCCGAACGGAAACCATGTGGGGATCGACATAGATACCCTCGTCTCTGTCGCTGTGAGCAATGTGACCTCCCTGGGTTTGGTGCTCAACGGTGGTGACAAACTGCATACGTGGATTGATTACGACGCCAGCTCCAAATACTTGCAAGTTAGGTTGGGCAAATTAGGCAACGTGAGGCCATCTGATCCATTGATTTCTTATCCAATCGATCTGTCAGAAATGTGGAAGGAAGAAGAGGTGTTCGTGGGCTTGAGTTCATCTACCGGGAATTCTTCCCAGACCACAACCGTTCATTCATGGAGCTTTACGTTGAGACGGATTCCTAACTGGATGCATTCACAACCATTAGACCCTCGAGCTCATTCCGAGCCCAGTAAGCCTCTGACAGTAACAGTAGTCCACAAGAAGAAGGATTGTGTGATCAGAACACTTACTGGAGTTATTTTTGGGACTGCCTGCGGAGCATTGGTAACATTAATTGTGATGGCGTTGTGGAATTTCTTCACAAGCAGGCCTCCGGTGGCTCCGGTGGAGTATCCCGAGCACCCGGTGGAGTTGGGTTACGAAAAGATCAGAATAATTAGAGAAAAAGCTACCACAGATGATAAGAAATAGCTGTGTTCGTTTAGGAGGCACAGGGGATTGAATGTTCCATCTGTTGTAAATTCCTCTTCCTTTATTTTTCTTTTTCTTTTTTATTTGTAATTTTCAAGTGTCTTTTGTATGGTGCTTGATGGAAATTTAGTTGTTTTTCTGCTGAGTTTCATCTCAAATGATGACAAACATTTTATATGCAACTATTGATTGGGAAAATTGGAATTATTTTTGCATGTTAGAAGCTCTTATTTCTAACCAAGCTCCAAAATTCTTGCAGTAACCACTTTTAACACACAAAAACAGAGCTATTTCACTGACTTGATTACTGCAACCTAGTTGCCTGAGTACAAGAACTAAGAAGGACAATTCTAAGGAAAGTGCTTCAATTAGGATTCAGATTACCTCAAAACCCATCTGGGATGAATAATCCTAGGCTTGTGTACATGAACAGAAACTCCACTCAAACCCTTAATTAATTAATTTGTAGCTAACTGAACAACTGTACAAGGATTTCTAGTTGGAAATCAAGCAGGGGCTTTCAGAGGATTTCTAGTTGAAGCATTTTTTATTTTCTTAATGTAAGGCAGAAGAAGGTATGAGGAGCTTATATATCATTGTGTGTGAAACAAGAAACTTTCCCAAATTAATCAACATGTGAACTGTTTCTGTATGCATGTGTTGGCTTTGTTTACAATATCTGTGAAGTTCAGTAATAAAATCTCTGCGCCAATGCAAATTCTCAGTGTTCCGACTAAGAAGTTGGTTGCATTGGAATTTGGATGATGATGCTATCAAAAGATTGATCAGAGCATTTTCCTCATGAACCACTCACAATAAATCACTGCACAGAAAGCTTGAGACTTGAAATGCAAAGCATATTCATGCCCATGTAATGGTGAGAGTGGGGCTACTACCATGGCTGAGACTGACCTTGCTGTTTTACTTATTTTGATCCAAGCATTTGCCTCCCATGTTAGAAGTTAGCACATTAGAAGTGCCCTCACATGCTCCTAATGGTGCCAGTCTGCCAGATGAAACTTATACAAGATGTGGTGTGGATGCAAGAATGTTAGATGTATACTCCAATCTGACAATCGAGAATGGAAAAGCAGTAAAGCACTTAAGCACCCCTTGAGAGAGTGACAGAGGAATAAAGCCAGAGATAAATTAGAGAATAGAACAAAATTGGGCCATCTTCTTCTCCTTTGAAAAAATATTAAAATGGAAAAAGAAATCGGGTCCTCCCTTCTGCTAAGTGCTAACCTTCTGTTTGTCCTTTGTTTCAAGAATAGAGAGCCTACCGGTTGAACGATGGAAGTTTCTTCCTTCACCTTTCGGAGTTATCTCACCGCTATGGTGTGGTCTGGACCTCTGCGATTTGACCAGCTCTTAAATTTTCTCAGCATTAGAGTTGACCATTGACCGAATGTTAAATATTAACCATTGGATGTGCATTTTCCAAAAGTAGGATTAAAACTTCTGTCCTAAATGTGGTAATTGTTAACGTACGACAAAAAGTATTAAAGATACAACGACTCTTCAAGCGGATTTCTGGAGCAGTTCAATCTCCATGGATGGTAGACGTTAATGTGGGCTTGGATCCTCTAAATCGATCTGTCATGGCGTGAGGCAACTGTATGCATCTATCTCGTCAGTCGTCATTAAAGGAAGCACTGTGCTTGGACGCGGAATGCCTGAGCCCTGAAACAATTACAAAACAAGACGCTGTGCGTGGACGCGGAATGTTTGAAACAATCCAAAGAATCCGATTGTAAGTTTTCTTGTGTAAATGCTAGATTATCCCAACCAAGATTTTTTTTTTTTTTTTTTTGGGGGGGG